TGGACGACCCTAATGCACATATGTTGGTTCTGTTTCTCTCATTCGTGTGCTATTCTTTCACGTTGAGAGCAAATGTTTTTTTTTTATTTTTCGCATATTTGTTAAAGTGAATTAAATTAAGCAACTTCTTTGTTTAAATCTATTGTTTTAAATTTTTGTTTATTTTATATATACGTATGCATACTAGGGCTGTGCGATCAAATATTAAAATGAAATATTTTTTCATATACAAACTCTTTTAACGTGCAAAATTCATTTTTCGAGTAATCGTATTTTAGTAGCTCGATTAATCATCATTGTGAGTAATCAATATCTTGATTACTCTAGTAATTGATTAATCGAACAACTGATTACCCAATTTGTTCGAGTAATCGAACAATTGCCCAACCCTAATGCATACATACATACATATGTACACTTTTCAGAATAGTTATGTAAATATAAACCATTTGCCAAGCGAAAGTTATGTCATGTGCAGGTTGCGCTGAAGGCTCGTGAGAAAGTGTTTAGATGTTGAGTTCTTTTCATATAGAGTATTTCGTTAAGCAAAATTTTTCAGCCAGGGAAGTCCCCAATATAAAATTTAATATAATATAGAAAAACTTACAGTTTAACTAAGCGCACATATTATATCGGTAGTTTCTTATTTTCTCACACTTAATGTGAGATTATTGGATGCTATTTTTTAGGTGGCAACACTGTTCGCAAACAAAATAATGAATAGCTAATATTAAAGAAATAAATAAACAAATTAATTTTTGTAGCTGTTATTTTTCACACAATTCATGTTGTTATCAGCAAATGTTTAATAAAAATGCGCAATCATTATACATATGTACTTGTAGCTATCTATCTATGTATGCATATCAAATGTTAATATCTTGAAGTTCGTGAGCATATGTATGTACATACATACATAAGATAATCTAAAGTAATTATCCGACTCAGTGATAAAGCAATGCAATTCGAATGCAAAACGATAAACCATGATAAACAGGGGTGGGTGAATGCATCAGCAAAGATGTATGTATATGAAAAATTTTTGCTACAGGAGAAACTCTAGATAATTTAATGAGACCGCGAAGTATTGCTGAAATTATGAGACTGGGGAACTTATGCCTGATGCTCAGAGCCATATTCTAATTATAGGATGAACTTTTTTCCACTCACCAATAGATGCCCAGGTATTACCCTTATGCAAAATAACGATATCGGCAGTACATATCAGCAACTACCCGGGCTGTTCCGCTTTTTTTTTTTTTAAGTGGATATGAACGTGAAGGAAATGAGTCTGGAGCTGGACGAGTACGAAACAAAGATTCGGTACTCACGTCATTTTTGGTAGAAAACATATTGAGCTTCTCAAATACAAAGCCGCGGCGGCACGGGTAAATATTATCCGATCTCAAAATTTGATATTCTTCAGTTACGGGGTGGCAGCAGGAAAAATCAAAAAAATTGATTTTCCTTTGTATTTTTGGACCACCCTAATTTATATACATTTGCACTCAAAATGTGTGCTTTTAAACCTGATGAAAATTTTAACAGGTTTGCCACCTACTTTTTGATGTCAAATGTTTTTAAATTTATTAGATTCAAAAAGGAAAAGTTTTTTAATTTTTTTCAAAAACATTATTTTTTCGTTTTTGTTAATCGTTAAAAAATTAAAAGTGTTAATTATATTTTTCAAGGATTTTTTTTTTTTTCATTTTGTTTCACTGAATACTGAGGTACCTTGTAAGGTAAAATATTAACACATTGATATATTTTTTTCGATATAATTTGTATGCAAATTGGTATTGGATACTCATACTTTAAGTTTCCACTGCAAATGCCGACTATGTGACGAAAAATTAAAAAAGGCGACCTCTACGTTCGGTAAAAAAATTTTTCGAAAATGCCTTTCAAAACTAATTTCCTTCAAGGGTACACGGGGAAGTTTTTTTTCTGGTGCAGTCTAATATATAGTACATACATAGTTAATAATATAAGCTTCGCCGATGCAATCAAATATTTATTATGCAAATAAATATTAATTTTGTTTTACAGACAAAATCTATGCAAGCGATGTTACTTTCTTCCACACTGCTGGCTAAGAAAATATATATTATCACTATGCAAATCGCTATAAACTTTTCTTATCAAATTTAGTACTGACAACAGACAGAGTTAGAATTTCACCATTAAACAGTTGGAAAATAAATTGGCTGTGAAGCGTTGGGCTGCAATTTTACGCATGGAAATACAAAATGAGAAATTTTTAAGCAATAAATATTCAATCTTAAATTTTTAGAAAAGTAATATCAAACAACAGCAGACACAAGATGATTACAATGCCAAAATTGGCATTTTTAAACAAACGCTACCGCATGCAAATATTCGCTACTTTAACAGGTGAGCGAAAAGTGTTTTTTTTTTATATTCGATTAGTATAGAAAAAATTTCAAGTTGTGAAAATTGGAATAAAGTGAATTACCGCCAGTCCATAAGTGGATTTTTTTCATGCGCCTCAGTAATTTTTTGTCTGCGGAAAATAATACTAGTAACTATAGTGCGTATCATAACTTTACGGCAATCACATATTGAATAGATTTGACCATTTATCTTAATATTTTTCAATTTTAATTATTTGTTTTGTAAAAATATAGTATACATATGTATTCTGTAACAAAATTTTCGAGGCTTTTAACTAGATTTTGTGTATTCAATATTTTGAATATCTGCATATTTTGTAGCCCATTCAATTTTAGTATCTACAATACAAAGCAAGTTTTAAGTTGGTCCGACTTACCGCTGATTTTTGGGAATTCTTTTGGTTAAAAGTCTTGCTCATTTTCTCCATATAAAAAAAATCGTCGAATGTTTTGTATAGAAGAAAATTACTGACATCGTCAACAAAACAAAAAAAAATAAAATAAAAATAAAATTGCCAAAAGTCAATGGTAACTCCCAGCTACTTTAAACTTCCACTTTATTATACTAAAATTAAATGGGCTACAAAACTGCATGCCCAAAATATTTTCTGTTCAATGAAGGCAGATACCTTGCTAGGCCTTTTGAGCTTGAGAACACCTATAGGCGTTGCGATGAATCGAACTCTGGACGAAGAGTTTCGTATTTATCGAGTAGGTAGTTTCTAAGAAAGCTCGATAGCCTCAATTTTACACCAACCCGTATCTGTTCCACAGTTTGTGGTATCCTGCTGTTTTCATCTACTAAAGCCGCCTGTTGAAGGCCTTAAGGGTGCTGTGCACTCCATATGAGCTCCTCACTAAACCTTTTGACGCATCAACTGTGGACTCACCCTCATCTAGAGAAAGGCTTCGCTTTTTTGGATAAGTTGACCTCGAATGCGACTTTAAATACCGTCTGAAACTTCTTGCGGCCTTCACTATTTTCTTGAACCTTGACTTGTCTACGGGTTGTGTTGCTGTATAACTTAATTAAGGACATCTTCATAATTGTCTCGCAATTAGTTCGGAATAGTCTGTCGCCTGTTCTTGGAGCGCTCTTAGAGGACACGTTTTCTAACCGTACTTGCCCAGCCTAACTAATTTTTACTTAAGTGTATACCAACTAACTCCAGACTATTATTCCACTGTCTCAATCTCAGTTGGCCGTAAGTGAAAGCAGATAACTGTAGATGAAGCAGAATTTTTAGATGAAGTCAAAATGAGTTTAACTCGTTTAAAACCCCACAATTTTTCAGTGTTCATTGACAATGAGGAAAACATTTTCATCCGTTTAATTGGGTATAACACCTGAATGAGCGCTGGGGACTGACTCTAATTTTTGGTGATATGGGAATTTTTAGAATCAGCCGCCCAAGATGGTTTGTCCATAAATAATTGTCGTCAAGCATGTGATGAGGTGGTTGGTGTCATGGGTATGCCGTGGTCGTCCCTGGTTAAATACTAGCTCTTGAGATGGCTACACGTGGCAGCTGAATCTTATCTTCTGAAATAGGAGAGTCACAGAAGGTGGATACAGACTCTCTATAAATGCTATTGATATCTCGTATATACGTCCAGCGTAGGTTTGGAATGAAAGGGTGCCTTCTTATGTGCCTGGGTGGAGGCTGTTCCTCAAACAAGTACCTTTTCGGGTGCTCGCGTGTACAAAACCTTACCAGAAACTGCTTGGTGAGTTTTTTGTTGTGCTCCCTTATTGGGAGCATTTGGGGGTACGCTATGCAGATGATATTCATGCGGCATAAGGAGGCATCCAGTCTCTGTTCGAAGTGCATCGTTTTGATAAGTCTGTAGCTTCGTACACTGCATCCAACTAGTCCCCGGCGACCAAACAGGCTCAGCATAATCCAGAGCCTAACAGCCAATTTTATGTTGCCAACAACGTCTCTTTGTCTTTGTCGCTACGGACAAGCGATTTGACCACTCTGTCGCGTCTCTCTACTTTATTGACAATTGCGGTTGTGTGCGCGGAGAAGGAGAACAGGCTATCAAAGGTAACACTTAGGATTTTCGGGTTGTTTACTATACGAAGCTGGTGGGTTATCGACGTGAACCCCTAGTTGAAGCCTGACCTCCTTCCTCCAGGTGGTGAAAAGTGTCGCCGTTGATTTTGTCGGAAAGAGGGTTAGGCTCAATGCGGTGAAGCAGAGAGAAAGTTCGAAGAGGAAGCCGTTAACTTTCGAGCAGAGGCCATGAATTTCATTTCCAGATGCCAATTTGTCAGAGCAAGAAATTAGGGAAATTTCTTCCATTGTGGCACCCCTTGTTTAATTCTTCGTTGTTTGGAGGTAAACTTTTGACCAGTTTATAAATTGGGCGCGTTCCGTCTTACTTTGTCGGTATGTTGGGAATACCAAGAGGTTTTCTGTTTATCTAAACAATATTCTGGAGCATTGTGATCTGCCTATTCAGAATTGAAATCGATAAATAACAACAAACTCTATCGGGTTGTCACATTCCCTTAGGCAAAATACCCTCGTCTTTGAAAGCGCCTAGTATAGCTTGAGACCAGGAAACTATTGCTAAAGATTAAGAAATATTTGTAAATACTGTTTTTTTTTTTTTGTTCTCTTCAGAACACATCATGACCTTCGCCCATGCCACTGGACTGGGTTGGCTGTCACCTACATTAAATATACTTCAGTCACCGGCGTCACCGCTCGATTTCCCGGTCACAACAGAAGCTGCCTCCTGGATTGGTTCTACATTTGGTTTGGGCTTTATAGCAGGAAATATATTCTTTGGCCTTACGCTGGATCGGTGGGGTCGCAAAGTGAATATGTACATTTTGGCTTTTCCGCATATGGTAAGACAGCCGACTGAATGGGAAAAATGGAGTGCCACAAAAATTAGAAAAAACAATTCTTGTAGATTTTCTGGATACTCAACTACTTGGTGCAATGCGTTGAACATTTGTATATAGGGCGTTTCTGTGCTGGACTAGCAAGTGCTGGCATTTTTTTGGTTGTGCCGATTTTCATAAGCGAGATTTCCGATAAAGAGTAAGCCAATTATTTTGAGAATCTATAAGAAATATTTCCGTTAGATTTTGTATTTCCAAATAATCACCGCACAACTCGATTTCCGCTTTTCTCTACTATGCCTTTCACGCTTTTCCAGCATCCGCGGCGCGCTCACTGCCATGGCTATGATGTTCTTCAGTTCCGGCTTGCTAGTTGGTTACATAATGGCCAGCTATTTGGACTACTATCTCATACCCTGCATCATAGTTGTACTACCCATTCTATATCTGATCGGGAATTCGTTTCTACCGGAGACGCCACAGTGTTTGCTAAAGCGCGGACGTGAGCGCGAGGCTGAACAGTCCTTCAATTTTTACAAGGGCATCGAGTTCCATGCTTACCTAGAGAACACTGCTTCAGCACCACCAACGCCCGTTAGCGAATTTGATGAACTGAGAGCAACAATCGAGAAAGGTGGTCTGACAACGCCACTCACGATGAAAGACTTCTGTAAGCTATGGCCTCAGCTCAACGAAAATAATTTTAATTTCAAATTTCATTTTCTCTTTGCAGTCAACAAAGCGACACTCTTCAATTTCTTCACTGCCGCAATCTTGTGTTTGCTCAATCAACTGTCGGGTAGTTTTGCAATCATCAATTATATGGCAAATATTTTTGCCGCTTCCGGTTCGACTATGGATCCAAATGTTAGCGCCATTATTATGGGATTCGTGCAAATACTGGGTTCTTTGTCGGCCACCGTATTGGTGGAGCGTTTCGGTCGTCGGCCTTTGCTTTTATCCTCGGCGGTCGGCATGATGGCTGGCATGTATGGTTTTGGCGCATTCGTGCAATTTACCGATGCTCAAACGAAGGCCACATACAATTGGGTGCCAATTGCTTTTATGATGTTGGTGGTGTTCACAGCCGCTTATGGAGTCTTTGGAATTTTCTTCACAATTGTAGTTGAAATACATCCGGCAAAGGTGAGCAGAAAGAGCCCTGAATTGAAAAAGTTCATGAAATTTGATCAACCTTAGACATTCAACAAAATATTTGATTCGATTTTGGTTTCTGATGACAGACGAATGATTTTTGCACCTTTCCAATACTGATAAGCATCTTTTTGAAACATTTATTTCTATAAAAACTCTTTTTCTTTCTTTTTCTAGATTCGTCCGCAAGCTCTATCGATTTGTATGCTATTCAACAGCATTCTGGTATTCATAACTTTGAAGCTATTTCCCTATTTCCTTTTTAATTTGGGCATCACAATTACAATGTATTCCTGTGCCAGCGTTTGCGTGATTACAGGCATTTATCTGTACATTTTTCTGCCGGAGACTAAAGGCAAATCAATGGAGAAGGATTAGGAAGAAAAAAGTGGTTATTGAAAATTGTTTTTAAGGAACAAAGAAAATATTTAATTATTTTTTATTGGAAAGGAATAAAAATTAATCAAAAGTGAAATATTGTTTTTTCATTTATACTTATTTCGGTTAGAGGTCGGTTATATCGTATTAACAACTATTTACACAGCTTTTGTTGTTTCAAGCTACGATCTTGTAAAAAGTAAGGTATTCATTTGAAAAAAAAAGAAAATTGTCGTGCTACAAAAATAATCTTAATCGACGCTTTTCGCTATACAGTTAAAATGTTTTTGTTTAATGGTGATTTCCTTTATCCCAAAAATTGTTGCCATTCTACGGTACAAAAAGTGTTTGATGTCACACTCAACCCTGCAAAAAGGCATGAAAGGCAGAAAATCTTTTTTTCAAACCTTTATGGGCCAATTTCTTAGCCACTTTCATAGTCCTCATCTAACTCTCTCAACGATAACAAATGAAAAACAGATGCCGAGATAGTTCGAAGGCACAAACAAAAAAAGCTTTCTCATTCTCCACTCGTGGTGAAAAGCTATTTTGAGAGAAATCACTTATAATTTAGCTCGCGTCGCTCCAACAGGAACAATGGCCGGTGAGCAAGTCACATTAACACTTTTTTATTTTTTTATTTCATTTAATTTTTTGAAACTTATTTTATTAATTTTTTTCTCCCTAATTTAATTTTCTCGTAATATTTATGTCATTGTTCTAAAAAGAATATTTTTTTAAATTTCGTTAAATTTTTAGGAATTTGTTTTATTTTCTTTTTTTTATTAAATTTTGATTTTAATTTTTAGATTTTATTTAATTTTTTTTTTCAATTTCATAAAATATTTAGAAACTTATTATTTATTTATTTCTTCTTTTTTTAAATTTAAGTTCTTCTTCTTGCGTTAATTTCATTTGCTTTTAATTTTTAAAATTTTATTGTTTTGAAAAGAGAAATAAATATATTTATTTTATTTATTCATTCAATTCTTAGGGTGTAAATGATTTCTGTCTTTTTTAAATACTTTTTTTAATTTTATATTTTGTTTTAAAAATTAAAAAAAAAATATTTTTTTAAATCTTCTGGCAAAATCTTGAAAAGTGTCAAACTCAACTGAATTTAAATTAACGGAATAAGTAAAACTAAAAAAGTGATTGAAAATGGAAGGAGGCTAAAAAGAATTGATATACATATTTAGTAAGTGTTTATTATGCTTGCGTTTGTGTGAATGTGGTTTGTACATACATTTCTATTTTTATTTGACATTATTTTTGTTGTTGCCGTTCTTTGGACTGAATGATTGGTTTTTTGCGTTTCTTTACTTTTTTCTGTTATTATCTTTTAGTGAGCGCATTTTCCTTACGCTCTTGCATTTTGACACTTTCCTGATTTTAGTCTGAAAAGATTTGTCTTTCGAAAGACTGTGTTGAGTTGAAAGTTGCCACAACTGCCCTGTAAGAGTTTATTAGCTAGATATCAAAGCATAGTTGCCTCACGTAACTGCAGAACACATTAAAAAAAAAAACTATAAATTTTTTTTATTTGTAATTTGTAAATAAGAATTTTTGCAAATGCATACTTAAATGAAGAAAAAATATTTATCTTTTTCCTATCTAATCACCTCACTATATCTCACTTTAAGCAAACAAAAGCTAAACGCTGATTTCGCAGGTAAGCACATTAGAGCGGGTCGAATAAAAACGCCAAAAAAAACTTGCTTCATTATTAGAGCTTTTAGTTATACATATTTACACTCGAATTCATAAAAAATATAAAAGACTTGCCATAATTTATGAATCGAAAAATTTGATTAAAATATCATTTGCAGAAAACTTTATTGAGGGGTATACAAACCTTATCCACGCCTCAACTTCTAGCGGATTTTTAGAGTAGTTCAAAAAATATTTCATTTGGAGATACACTCCATAAGCTTTCAAATAGTTGGTGTTTGCTTTAAAAAACTTTCTTTTTGTATGGAGATCGACCCGGTCTAATGTAAAGCACACAGTTTTCGTGTGTTTAAATACATGCATTCATCTGTGTACATACATACTTTTTTGAAGATAAATCTCGTGTATCTGAACTAAACACAAAACAAAGTATATTCAAATGTAGTTCCAGTTGCATTTCAAATTGTGACGAGTGTGCGTACAGTTAGCCGATGCCATGTGCATAACTCTTGGGTGATGAAGATTTGAAAGTGTCACTTTAATTAATCAATAAGTCTACAGAATACAAAAAAAAGACCACACTCCCGGTTTGAATTGAGAATCTTCAATATGTTTAAAAATAAAATTGCGTTATTTAGTAAACGAAAACGCATGCAGCTCCTAGTGACGCTTTCATGTGAGTTAAGACGAAACCATCTCATAGACATAAATATATGACATAATTTAAGTATGTACATTGTACAAATGTAGAATAAGAAGGCAAATGTGTTTTATGGCTGTTATAGCACACATTGAGTAGTGTCTATATGTTTTTCATATGGGACTAAAATGGTTGTACAAGAGTTCTCTTTTAATGTTTGGAAACGTTGAACGTGGAAGCTTGCATAAAAGTTTATTATTTCGGTTATTTGAGATTATTAGTTCGACAAAAAAAAAATCCGTTCACAACGAATGGATTTTGCTTTATATGGGATACTAATACTAAGGCGGAAAACTTGCGGTTTGATGATTTTCACCTTTGAGCGAAGTTGTACATTTCGTGCGATACGTAATACATTAGCGACCATCAAACTTAGAACCCACAATTATGGTGCTTAGCACTATAATCAGCTACAAGCTTTTATATAGGCTGAATATAGCCCGAAAAGCACTGAACGCACCTGCAAAACCTGGTGAGGAGGTACATATATTCTAACAAACACTTGCTTACCGCTGACAACGAGGACTTTGATTGATTGCGTACTAAATCTGAGGAGCCAATATCGATTGGGATTGCCAACCGGTTACAACAAAGATAAGCTTACGCCTATAAACGGAATTTAGAGATAATAAAATTTGACTACTGAAATCTACTTAAACAATCAACTCCGAATTCTTCGAACGTAAAAGAATAATAGAGTCCCACCTACGATCATGTTCGCATCCCTGCTGACTGGACCGGGGCTTTAGAAGCAATGACGTCAGGGTCGTAAATGGAACCAGGCGTTGTTTGCTTAATAAATAAAATAAAAATAAAAAATAATGTTTATCACCTCGGTTCGGCATGTATTGCAAAAATATTGGAAATTTAGAAATTTTGAAGTTACAAGAAGTTTACTTTGCGTGCTTTGGGCTGTGAAAAATTTTCCTTGGTTTTGGACAAGTCAATCTGAGTAGCAATTTCGTTTTCAATAAATAAGATAGCTACAGCGTTTAATCTTTTATGGGACATGCAGATCATAGGAACGCATTGCAGGGTTCCAATTTCGACTAACTTCGTTCTCAGCTGCAATACTCACTGGCCTGTTTCCCTTTGGGAAACCCAAACATTAGGAAAAAGATCGACGATATTTTTCTTGGTGATAAATTGGAGAACCTCTAAAAGTCGTTTGATGGCTAGACTTTCCGGGCAACTCCACTACACCCAAGGAATAATTATTTCTGAAGAGCCACGAAAGTCTAGATTGTTTTTAACGAGAGAAATACATGGTTATCATCTCAAAATATTTTAGACACAATCTTACTAGCCAAAATAAGCTGTGACATGGTCACCAAAATTTTTCGTGGTCTCGCAGGCGGTCATAAACGTATTTGCAGTCTTAGAAACCATTTGGTGCAAAACAAAAACAAAAACCTTTGTCGACACTTTTGGAGTATATATAGTACGAGCCATCTTCGTTTTATTTTTCGCCATTAGATATCTAATGTTTTCGCGGTAAGCTTCATAGAAAAATGTTGGTTCTGATGTCCTCAATTTTCGATGGTCCACGTATAACAGCTGCATTGATGAAGTGGGATCGCGCGATTTTGGGTCATCAAGCAGGCAATTTCGATGTTCTTAGAAACACTAAAATTTTCAGTCATCATTTTATTATTCTACTAGATCAGGTCTTGGAAGTTTTTCGCACGTACCTTTCTAAACATTTGGATTCTCAGATATCGAAATAGAATCAACTTCGGCCGTATTAGTGTGAAAAGTTCGATCGATTTAAGATGAAGATGCGCCGCCTTATTCTCTGCGGATATGAGCGTTCTACGTTTTTAGTTCAGACTCTTCTCAAGCCTTTTTTGCAGCCACCATTATCCATGGTTCTCTTGGTGCACTTTATGTCGTAACCTGCGAAATGAAAATTTGGTAACCTAAAATCATTTTTCATTCCAAGAAACTTCAGATGCCTATTAGGCACAATTTGTACTTTAAAATAGCGGCAAAGGATCAAACTGGTGAAGAGAACAGCTACACCTTACACTAATTAATTTTTTTATATATTTTGTGGTGATGTAAATCATTCTCATTTTCGAACTCTAAATTAAGATCTTTTTTGCATATTTAAGTTTACAATATTTCTTTAAACACTGTCGCTTTCTTTTTTCTTCAGGTCATATTTTGAACTTCTCGCATGGAATTGGCTTTGGTTGGGTGTCGCCGACTGTGCAAATCTTACAAACCCCTGAGACGCCTTTCGAAGCACCTATAACCGTCGAACAGGTTTCTTGGATCGGTTCGACATTCGCTTTTGGATTTTTGTGTGGAAATATTATTTTTGGCTTAACCGTAAATCGCTTAGCCCGCAAATACAATATGTACCTAACGGCTTTTCCACATATGGTGAGTTAAGTAATCAGCTCTACATGCCCCATATATGTATGTACATTATCGCTCACAGTTTACTTTTACTTTCTACTTAGCTCTTTTGGATATTGAACTATTTTGCACAGAGTGTTGAGTATCTATATGTGGGTCGTTTCTTTGCAGGACTCACCAGTGGTGGATTGTTTGTGATAACGCCAATATTTCTAAGTGAAATATTAGATGTAGAGTGAGTACCTATTTAGAAAGTAAAGTATTTGGTTTCACTTCAGTTCGAATTTACGAGTACTAATCAGATATCTGACTACATATTTCGTATAATCATTGCAGTATTCGCGGTGCTCTCATGTCCATGGGCATGATGTTTGTCAGCTGTGGTGTTTTGGTTGGTTTCATATTGCCCACAAAAGTCAACTATTACGTAACACCCTGTATCGCCGTAGTGTTTCCAATATTTTATCTACTAGCATTGTATTTCTTTCCGGACACGCCACACAGCTTATTGAAACGCAAACGTTTGGCTGAAGCAGAGGAGGCTTTTAATTTTTACAAAGGCATCGACTGCCACAGCGTTCAAAAATCCAATGCAGACATGGAGCAAACTAAGGAAGCTTCAGGCGCGCAAAGTGAATTTGAGGAATGGAAAGCGATATTCTTGAATGGGAGCTCGAGTCAGCGCGTAAGGCTGCATGATTTCTGTGAGTAAATACTTTTGAAGTGAAACTTCTTTGCGCTCGGTTGAGCGTAAATGCGAACATGGGTGTAACGAAAAAGTGACAGAAAAAGAGAGGGGGAGGGGAGGGCGGGGGTGATTGGGCACGTTAATGATTAACGCTAATATTAGGATTAAGATTAACGCTCAGATTCAGATTACGATAAGGATTAAGATTAAGAATAATAAAAATATTCAGATTAAGAATAAGATTAAAATTAAAATTAAGATTAATATTGAGGTTAAGTTCTCATTTTCGTTGTTGGCGTTAATTAAGATTAAAGTTAAGATAAAATTATGATTAAGATTGAAATTAAAATTAAGATACGATTAAGATGAAGATTACGATTAGGATTAAGATTAAGATAATGGGTAAGATTAATATTAAGGCTTAGATTAAGATTAAGATTAATATTAATATTAGTATTAAGATTATGACTAAAGTTAAGATTAAGGTTAGGATTAAGACTAAGATTATTATTAAGATTAACATAATTAGTAAGATTAAGATTAAGTCTAAGATTAAACATAACTAATATTGTGATTTGGATTAGGATTAAAACTACGATTAACACTAAGATTAGTGCTAAGATTGATATTGAGATTAAGGTTAGGATTAAGATTACGATTAATCTTATCCCTAAGATTAAGATTGAGATTGAGATTGAGATTGAGATTGCGATTAAGATTGGCAATAAGATAATTGCTCCTTGATCCAATCGTAACACAGGAGAGTTCGATATGCTCAATGGTGCAGCAGGTCGATGGACAGGACTTGGCTATTTTTAGTAATAACTCGACTCCAGCGCCATCTGACAGAACTTCTTTGTTCCTTTTTTTGCCTTTACCGTTACCAATACATATTAGCAAAATCGGATAATAAATAAGATTTTTAGTAATAACACAACTACAGCGCCAACTGGTGGGTTAAATTGTGAAATTAAACACCCATTTAGGAGGACTTCATTCACACAACCACCTATATGGGAGGTGCTACGCCCCATTTACATATCAAATTTTTTTTTAGGCTATTCAAATTTCAAAAAAATCGGCTCAGCCGTTCTCGAGCTTTGCGAACACTAAATAAAACGGCTTTCAAATTATATATTAGTATAGATAAGTATACTTTTAAATATTATCAACTAACTACTCCTTTATATATTTACTTGCAGTTGAAAGGTCAGCTATCAAGGCATTTGCTGACACCTTTGTGCTGTGCATTTTATATCAATTCTCGGGTTGTTTCGTCTTTATCAACTACATGACTTCAATTCTTGCGGAATCTGGTTCGACGATGGATCCATACGCCATCACTCCCATTGTTGGCGCATCACATATACTTGGCACTTTCTGTGCCACCATATTGGTGGAGCGATTTGGTCGCCGTACGCTGCTATTCTCCTCTATAATTGGCTTGGTTGTGGGCATGTATGGCCTAGGCGCATTTGTACAATTCACAGATGCTGCGACGAAGGCGAAGTTTGATTGGATACCGCTCGCTTTTATGATCGAAGTGGTCTTTATGTCGGCTTATGGACTATTTGCAAATTTCTTTACCATAACGGTTGAAATTTTGCCAGCAAAGGTAAATGATTTTTAGTTTAATTTCAATCTGACTTCGGCGCCTTTGATTCGAAACATAAAGTGAGCTCTGACTTTGACTGCAATTTTGACTTTGCTTTTTATCTGGATCTTGGGCACATATGTACCGAACGTTTAGTGTAAGTTAAGGTTATGTTCTTCCCAAAGGAGGGGAAATGAATTGGTCATAGTCAAATAATTTACGCCCAGAGGTCTGTCATCGTTCATTCTAAAGATACTGGAAAGACTAATTGACTTACATACATATATACATATCAGGAAAGTCCACGCAACCGAAGGATAGATCTAACAAAATCGCGATCTACAAATTGGTTAGTACTATTTATTGGGACATCAAAGAGTTTTCAGTAATGTTCGGACTCGTTCGTGATCACTTCTGGAACATGCCATTCTGCATTCTATCGTATAATAGATAGGCGCTATGCTCCAAAGTAGTCAACGCGGCTATGGGCACAAGAATCGATATATGGCCTCTCCTCTGGCTGCTGGTAGTAAATTAAATCTTGGATCTGCCTATATTAAAGAGAGCTACTTTGAATGTTGCAAAATAAATATGGATGAGAAAGGTGAGAAGAGTCTAGCGGCTTACTACACCTGGTCCTACCAACTGCAATTTTTTATTCAAGGCGATTTTAAACGTAGGGCAACCAACCTTCAAGTTTGACTGAGGAGACAGCACTGACTCAATTACGTCGATTAGAGACTTCAATTTAAGAGTTCCTAAATCGGAATTACGGTATCAGGCTGGGTTGCCAGGTACAGAAGGATCGGGGGAAGCGAGTAATCTGATAAGAGAAATAAGTTTGGCTCTGTAGTAGGCAGAAAAAGCCTCTGCGCAATCAACGTTAAGGGATTAAACGTTACGAAAAGAAGATCTCCAGAGGAAGTATTTTTCAAACACAACAGCAACATTTCTTACGCGACACTATTATTTTGCATTTATGCTCTGAAGGTGGCGAATACCAACGAGTTCTCTCTACAGAAGCTGCCACGGTACGAATGGCGAGGAATTAATTTACCACTTTCTGTACCGATTTCAGTGCCTGTAGTCCCCAAATTAAACGTGTGGAATCACCTAATTCACCCATCTGATAAAGATATCGATGGTGGAACTCCTGAATTTAATTAAGAATATCATTATATTACCTGGACTATTCCTTCTTTATTCTTTGTAAAGGAAAAGGTTATCTGTTGAGGATGTGATTCCGTCAGCTACTCACAGCAGACACACAGAGTCGACAACTACGTACATATGTATGCATGTATGTCTCCGTTAAGAGAAAGGAACTCGTCATTCGCCCTCTTTTAGTCTAACCTAACCTAAGGCTTGAACATATCATTGACTTTAACGTTCAAAGTTTAACGTTAAACAAACTGGTAAATTACCTACCTTGACTGTCGCTTAGCTATTTCACTTCTGGCTCAATTTTGACATGAGACTTATAGTTCATTTTCACCAAACCTTAACTGCAGTTTATATCTATTAGTACTCGAAGGGGTAATTGCTCATATGAAGTACAAGCAAGCGAAAGTAAAATAGCACAAGATAATAAATAAATCTTTCCCTCGGAACCTGCCGGATCTCCTAGCTGTAGTTAAGCTTTTAGTGAAAATGGGCTATTACACTAACTAGGGTATACGAATTAACGAAAAGTCAGATTAAGACTGTACCTTAAGCTTTGATTAATGCTTTCAGTTTTGGGGTAATTTAATATTTTATTGTTTTTTTTAATTTCTTTTTCATTTACTTCGCAGATCCGTTCTCAGGCCTTATCGATTTCAATGTGTTTGGTCAGCATATTGGCATTCGTCGTTCTGAAGGTCTATCCATACTTTTTATTCGATTTGGGCATAACTGTTACAATGTATACTTCAGCGACTATATGCGTGATTACTACCATATATTTGTATGCCTTTTTGGCGGAAACCAAAGGAAAATCAATGGATAAAGATTAAGAAACTAATGTCAAAAGCCATATCATCTGTATACTCAAGTAATATTTAAGATTTGTGCATATATAGATATGTAATTGAACACTTAAGTTGCAGAGTTTTGTAAATTTTTTTTTATCTGATTGTTAAAAAGCTTACAAAAGCGAGAAGAAAATAAATAAAATCTTAAAGAAATCGCCGAGCGAACTTGAAACCTTGGCGCTGGCAATAATAAAGCTTTCATGGATACTTGAGTATCAACTTGAAGGGGAGTATGTAGATAGGGTGGCGGGCCGTAGAAATTTTTATTTTTTTTTTCGTTTATTTAATGCTTATATATTTTATATACAAGTATAGCTCATGATCTGAGAAAACCCATGTATGTTAATGAACAATTTAAATCTACTAATTTCAACAAATACAGATTACATAAAAACTTTGTTTGCAGAATTAAAAATAAAAATAAGTTTGCAGTTTTGCAGTTTATTAAATTATAGTTTAATGAGGTGCAAATTTGAAGGAGCTAGGACATACCACTGATTTTTGGCAATTTTTTTCTGGCGCTGTTGCGTATTTTCTCCGTATAAAAAAAATTATCGAATGATTGTATGGAAAATGGATGCTAAAAAACTACATAACAAAATTTTTTTTGTTCAAATTCTAATTAAAATGTTATACATTTCTATGAAACTTTTTCGAATTTTCCTGAGTTTTGTATAAAGTACGAAATTCGCACTTCCATGGTTTTTCCTATATAGTAAGCTGACCAACCGTCCTCCTCAAACGTGATTTGTACTTCTCAAAAATATTGTCCACCCAGCTCTGTTTTACTAGTTGAGGATATGGCGCCGTTTTTGAATTTGAATTTTCTATTTAATATTTTAGCTTCGTGACGCTGCTGCAAACAAGATAGCAAAATATTCAAACAAAAATGGATTATACTAATCTATTGAATAAAATTGAGCAAATACTTTTTTCGAATTTCATCGACGGTATTTTTTTTGTTTTTATCAGAAAAACTTCGCTTCGCTTCATTCAGTGTAAACACCAGCAGCTTCGCCTTGTTCCATCTTGCTTTGCTCGGCGCCGCTCGGCACCCTGTGTGAACACACCCTTAGAAGTAATTTTTTGCTTAGAACTCGAGCTCGACCTCGAGCTTACAACTCCTCCAAGATATTGCGGTTTTTCGCGGTTAAGTACACGAAAAACGGCTTTAATGGCCACTTTTTCTTGCTCTATGCCATTTAGTACTATTCAGACCCTTCAAAATGCGCCTTCGAGTGGTGCTTTACGATTTTTCCTTCAGAAATTATGGCCATTGGAAGATGGCCTCGTTCCTTTTTGAAATAATATAATTCTCGCGTTATTTTAATTTTTCTACGTAATTTTTATTTTCTGATATTTGAATTAGAAAGAATATACGTTTTAACTATGGGTTAAAAGCACGTTGAATAGCTTACAATGTTGCTTTCAAATTAGCCTTATCTATAACTAAATAAAAAATAAATTTAACTAAAAATTCAATTAGTAAAAAGATTTACGTTACAAATAGTTTTGCGCCGAAAACACATGAATAATGAAGAGCCCCTATAGGAAACTGCTTTGTTGTGAAGAAGGCCGAAAATGTTCCAAGGAAACCAGATTTTTTCCATTTTTAAGACTGGTGGATTCGGCGCCAAAAAACTTTTGGATATTTTGGACATTAACTTAAAAAATTAGCCGATTTTATTTTCGTTAAGAAAGTTCATCACTGATTATTTTGTCGAATAAAGGTGTCTTCCGATTAAGTGAGATTCGTGTTAATGTTTATATTGTCTGATACCTCAGAATATGAATGACCTAGATGTAATCAAAAATCTGCGAGTTTGTATGCTTTTAATGTTATACACTTTATATATAGGGGCCCGTGATTTTTTTGTCCCGGGCCCGAGTTTTCTTTCGTCGGCCCTGATTGCATACATCTACCATCGCTTTGCCTTTTCCTACAGGCATTTTGCTTCGTTAATTTTATTGCATTACAAAGAGTCTACTGCCTTGCGCTTGTTACTAGGAAACTATAGTAAACAACCCAGCTTTGTAATTTTTATTGATGAAAGTCGAGGTAAGCAAAAACGGCTAGTCAGTAATAATCAAATGAGCAAACCAATTGCAAGCTTTCGTGAAAAAAGTGACAGCGAGGCTGGTAGAAATTAATAAATCGGTTACCGAGATATACATACATTTGTGGTCATTTATAATATTCTAATTTTCTGCTAAGTAGTTATTGCAATCATCGATTTTAAGTGAGTTACTTGTAACATTTTTTTTAATAGGGTTGCCAACTGTTTAGAAATTCAAAATCAACTTAATTGACAAGGTAAATGAAATATTTTAATAAGTGTATCAAAGGTTTACGGTTTACGTAAACTTTCTTTCAAAATTTTTTTACGCGGGTTGCCACATGTTTAAAAATTCAAAGTCAACTCAATGTACAAGGTAAATGGAAAGTTTTTATATTGGTTTCAGCCGAGAGATGTTCATTCAAAAAATATTTATGAAGATGGTTGCCACTTATTTAAAATTTCAAAATCAACTTTATTAAGTTAAATTAAATATATTAATAAGAGTGTCAAATAAAGGCGGTGTAAGTAATCTTTATTTCTAAAATACTTTTGAAGCTTTGTTTTTTAAATATTTTTTAAGAGATTACCCTAGTTTAAAAGTTCTAGAAAGTACACACATACTAGGGATGTTAATTTTTTCGATTTTTACGATCCCGGGATTTTCGGGATGTCGTTGGTTCAATCCCGGGATCCCGGTAACAGTCCCGGGATTAAGATATTTATTATTTTTCCAACGATTTAACATGAAAAAATTGCATCAATATAATTTGAGAAGCTCTCCTACCATATAATGAATAATAAGTAAAAAGTCAAAAAATTCATCTTCTGGTTGAAAGAAGTTCATAATACTACTGGCAGAAATAAATGAAGCACCCTAATTCGACCAGTTTTGCTATATTATTTTTTTTTTTATTTAAAATTTACATTTTTTTATAAAAGTCTACCTCATATTACACATAATTAATTGCATATAAATGGGCATATCTCTGACGCCATGATTTATAATTTCAAGGATATGGTTAATTCCAAATTTTGTTTACAAAAAATCGGTGCAATGTAAAACAAAAATATGGGTACCAAATGAAAGAATTTTTTTTTTTGGTTCATAAGTACGAATTGGAATTGAAAATGCCCCTTAAAACCTATTTTATTTTTTTAAGCTAATAAAGTTAGTCCTTAACATATAATTTTTTCCAAAATAAGAATTGCAAAATTTCAAGGATATTCAAGGATAAAATTATAAATAGGGTATTTTCAGTTCCTACCTGTCCCTTACGCACCAAAAAATGTAATGTGTTTTAACTCTACAGAACCTTATCTTTAATTTGATATCCATACCGGTTTTTTAAGTACATATATTGCACTGAAAATTTTTTTTTCAATTTTTTGAATTACTCATATCTTTGAAATTTCAAAGTTCTTTTAAAAAATCCTGACGTCCGAGAGAAAAATTAAAAACACAATTTTAAAATATTGGGCCCTTGGTTTAGCGAATATATTGATTTTTTTTTGTGTGCAAAATTGACTGCCGTAAGGTATTATATGTACATATATTGAGCTACACATTAAAAAAAAAGTTAAATATTAAATAAAAAAGAAATATAGCCAAAACTGGTTAACATAAAGCGTTTATATTATTTCCATCAGTGTAAATTACAAATCCCGAAAATCCCGGCATTCTAGGTAAATATAGCCGGGATTTTCGGGACTTAAAAAATATCGGGATCCCGTGATCCCAGGGTCAACATTCCTAACACATAAATAGTCTCCTAAGTAACAGTAAGTTTAACAAAATAAAAAAGACTCACTTAAATTGGCTTACCACTGAGCAGTTTCATCCTCAATGCCAAACAAATGTTAATGTATTTGTTAAAAGATTTGCTCCCCAGCTGCGTTTGCAAATGCCAAATGTACACATCTAATCTTTTAAACGTTTGTATTTATTTATCTTATCAATTTTTTTTGTACAATTGATTTCTTTAAACAATTTCATAAATAAATGAAATTTGAATATGAAAGCAGTGCCAGTTAGGTTTCGTGGAACATTTAACATTTGTGCCAGTCGCACAATTTCACCGTTGACAAGCGTACACATGGCGACAGCTTGCAAACAAAGGACAAAGGACATGCTAAATAATAATAAGCAGAAGAACAACGAGAAGTCTATGCAGTGAAAGTACGAGCGACAGCGAAGTGTCACAAAAGCTTTATAGAATTTTTGAATTAAAAAAATAAGTCAATTATCAAATAGAAGTGCAAATGCAAAAATGGTGAACAATCAGGGATTAGCAGTTTTCAATAAATGCTATCGCATGCAGATTTTAGTAACACTCACAGGTAAGTTGTGAAACATGAAATGAACTTTTTATTATATTTTTTTTTTTTTTTAATCAGACGTTGATTAAAAAATACTACTTTTAGCGGGTTTTCAAATTATTATTTTGGAAAACAAAAATAAATACAATTCATAGGTATTATTTTAATCCGAAATTCGTTAAGCTTCGTTGGCTCGGGAGCATTGTGGTTTTCCAACTCACATAAGGAATTATTTAAATCACTCTTTTCAACTGATGGCATAAGCTCCTGACAAATTATAGATCCTAATTTATTGAAGTGTTAAATCTGGGGTGATTCGTATTAAATATTTACTTATGTGAGGCTTTGTTAACGAGCTGCGTGGGAGCTTTTAGGCTTCATCATCAGACTACCTATTCATCTCGATTGAAAAGCTCGACTAGACACGCCTATGTTGGAGAACGTCAGCTGGCAAAGTTGGTCACTGCTGCAGCTGCACTCTTCATACATACCGCTAGACTCGCAGATCCATTTGCACCCATTTTACCGACTGAAACTTTTCGATCTCAGGGATCCCAGTATGAGGATTTTTTAATTTCGAAATTCGGCAACAGTGATGTCCAACCAGTAATAATGCCAGCCTTGAGATCCAAAGTAGAGTCAGTGGAGAGAATTTATCTGGTTTCCTACGCCGATGCTTGCTGAAGGTCGGTGTCGGCCAATGGCCTTGGTAAAGTGTGTCCGTAATTAACGACAATCTCTCCGAGGAGAAACGCTTCTTTACTGCACAGGGCCTTACCTTCCCCCCTAAAAATTCAAAAATTTCAAAGGTTTATAGACCGAATATTCTAGGGATTACCTTTGCTATACTTCCCCCGAACACAATTGCAGTTGTTAATAAAGTACAGCGCCGCAATAAGCTATTCAAAGCGTTCGCTGGCGGCTAAGAAACATTGTTGATAAGGCAATTCGCCGGCAGGGTCTAAATTAAGCTATGCATGTTTGATCACAGCAAAACATGTAGGACACACTGGGCAAAGCCTCACACGTTTCCTCTTTAAACCACTTTCATAGCGATGTCCCAGCTCTTCCAGCTAAGGGATAGAATTTCATGTTCAGGAAGCAATACATTTGCTGAAATGCACCTACCTCAGTTAAACGCTGGAACCAAAGTTTTACGGACAGGCCGTCAAAGAGATGCACTGCGCGCCAGTTACCACCTTTAGTACCGTAATCCAAGTTAAACCATCACCTAACGCATACGAAGATCTTCAACTGCCGCGTAACTCCTACCTATCCCTGACACCATCCCGACATACCCAACAACTGTCCAGCTTGTGTAGGAGATACACAAGACACCAACATCTCCTTCAGTTGCCCTCTCAAACCATTCAGCTAACTCAATTATTATTTTTTGCTCCAACCCGAATTAGTTATTATTGATTTTCTTTTTAATTTTTACTTTAAGATTTTTAAGATCAAAGCTTTAAAAATTCTTTTCTCTTTCTTTTTATGTCCAAAATATTCAGCGCACATTATGACTCTCTCGCATGGCATTGGCTTAGGTTGGCTCTCTCCGACGCTGCTCATATTGCAGTCAACGCAAACGCCGTTAGATTTCAAAGTTGCTGTCGAAGATGTGTCATGGATTGGTTCAATATTTGGCATAGGTTCGCTGTGCAGTAATATATTTTTTGGACTCACTGCGGATCGTTTCGGTAGAAAGACTAATATGTACCTCTTGGCGCTGCCGCATATGGTAAGTGAAAGGCAACTACTTAACCTTACCTACATAAAAAAGAGATAAAAGTACGTATGATTTTACATTTTTTATTTAATTCTTTCAAAGCTCTTTTGGATTCTCAACTATTTTGCACAGAGTGTAGAGTATCTATATGCAGCGCGTTTCTGTGCGGGTCTAACCAGTGGTGGCCTCTATGTGGTCGGACCTATCTTCATTAGTGAGATTTCTGATAAAGAGTAAGTAAAATGCGGATTCTTTGTTGTATGTTCTCCGATTTTGTGTACCAATAGCTATGCTTCATTATTTTTCTAATCCTTGCATGACATCTTTGCAGAATTCGTGGCGCTCTCACTTCTTTAGCTATGATGTTTTATAGTTGCGGCATTCTCATCGGCTATATATTACCTTCCTATCTCGATTACTACGTTATACCGTGCATAATAATATTCCTATCCATAATTTATATCGTAATAATGGCGTTCTTCCCAGAGACACCAACGAGTCTGATGCAGCGCGGCAAGGTTGAAGAAGCAGAAATTGCTTTCAATTTCTATAAAAACCTAAAGCCCAAGAAATATGTTCGTGAGTTGTTTGTAAATGAGTTGCAATCCTCATCAACGCTAAGTGAATTCGAGGACCTCAAGGCATCTAAGCTGCAAGGTGGCAAGACCGCACCCATTTCGCTGGGCGACTTTTGTGAGTTTTTGACCCATTTTTAGATTATCCCAAAATCTATGCACATACCAATTTCTATAACTTACCGTTTCGGTATTCTATCCATATTCCTACTCAAAATCATATCCATTTCCATATCCATATCCATATACATTTCTATATTCAAATGCATTTCCATATCCATATCCATATGCATCTCAATATATATGTACATATATACAACTATTCATATCCATATTCATATCCATATCCATATCCATATCTATATCCAGATCCTCATCCATATCCATATGTATACCTTCTGCGCTTACTTCAAAAATTCTTTTCTTCTCTTCCACAGTAAATCGAACCGCTTTGAAGAAATTCGCTCTCGCTTTTGTACTCTGCACGCAGAATCAATTTTCGAGCAGCTTTGCCATCGTAAATTATATGTCCCATATTTTTGCTGAATCTGGTTCGACAATGGATCCAAGTCAATGCACCATCATTGCGGGCATAGTACAAATTATGTGCACTCTCTTGGCCACTTTGCTTGTTGAGCGTTTTGGGCGTAAAAGCCTAATGTTACTCTCGACCGCCGGCATGACTTTGGGAATGTTCAGCTTTGGTGCTTTCGTACAATTCACCGATGAGACGATCAAAGCTGAATACAATTGGGTTCCGCTCTTGGCGGTGGCATTTGTCACGGCTACGGCCTCTTTTGGTGTAATTTCCTTAACTTTCACGATAATCGTGGAAATATTGCCGGCAAAGGTGAGTTGAGCAAATGAGTTGTATGAATGTGAGTTATCCGTAATTTTGATACTTTTTTATGTTTTTCACAGATTCGCCCTCAAGCGCAGTCCATTGCCATGATGTATTGTAGTGTTATGGTGTTCACCACCCTTAAGTTATATCCTTACTTCCTCTTCAACTTGGGCATATCAATCACAATGTATTCGTGTGCTGGCTCTTGTGTAATTACTGGAATTTATTTGCTGTTCTTTTTGCCAGAAACTAAAGGCAAATCAATGGTGCAGGACTAGTGCAACGAGTTCTTAAGTAGTTAAGATTTAGAAATAAAGTAGCGTTCTTTTAAACGGCTGTGCAGATAGTAGATATGCTTAGCTAAATGATATACTTCTAACCGCAAATAAAAGCTTATTTAAAATCAAGTGTTTTCATTTAATAAGCACTGAACGATATACATACTTATGTATGCTCTCCATTTCCACACGAGGCCTGCGTTGATACATTGAAGCAAGCGCAGCGTTCCGCTTCGTCAAACGCGCCATTTGTGTCGCTGTTCTTATTTTCTTATAGAATTTTTGCGCCGCATTCCTGCTTGTGAGCATCTCCAGCTATTTAAACTCATGTCTATCTGTCTGTCTCTTTTTTCTCCCTTTTTCTCAATTTTTTCAGCGGTACGCAGAGACTGGTAAATCGATTCCCAATGCTCATTTACATCCGCTCGATGAGAAGTTACTTGTTGTCGATTGCTCTTTGTGACTGTAGCTTTTCGAGGTCCAACTTTCGTCACGCCTATCACAACGTTTTGAACTTGGGTTTTTATCTCTCATAAGGCTACACTCATATGGTTTTATGAATATTTCGTCGCTGGCGTTAGGTACTAGCAAATAACTACCACATTCCGTACTGCGGTGAAGTCGATAAGAGTCTCTCCGTTATCGGATGGGCCTCATGCATAAAAAGGTAGCTTGAACTCCGACCCGATTATTAGTTCTTGAGCTTAAGCTCAGCCCATCAGTGTAAAAATTTGAGTGTGAGCTTAAGCTCATTTTTATAACTGAGGCCCATTGTCATGAATACTAAAATTTTAGACTGTTGGACCAAATATGTTTAGCTTTCATGCTTTCATGTTTAACTAATGGGCTGATGAACCTGGATAAAAGAGGTCGCGACCTCCACCCAACTACAAATCCTGCAACAAATTTGTACGTCGTCTCATGACAGATCCGTCCATCGCATATCCTGTACGTTTCCTATTAAGGGTCTGGATGCCGCACATTCCGAGCGCATATCCGTAAATCAGAATACATGTTTTGTGTAGTTTGAGAGGTAATTAACCGAGGCTGTTTTGGGTTTTCCATTGCATCTGTTTTTTTTATCTTATGGGGTCTCAGCCCAGTGCACAACCCATTTTTAGGAGAGTTTTTGAACAAAATAACCCGGAATGGTCCCACTAAAGCGTCCTCTCATTCTGCCGTGAACTAAGGCTTCCATACGTGTTCGTTACCGCATCTCGCAAACGGATTGCTCACATTTCCCAGAGTGCGCGGGAAATTATGCAAGAGTCAGTGCTGTATCTGAAAACCCAAATGAATGACAATAAGCAGAGGGTAGACTTCCTGGACAAACGAAAACCACGAGAAGATTGAGGGGAAGTAATTGAAGTTTCAGCAAACGAAGCGTTTTTACTAGCATAAAAAACTATACATATAAAAAATTGTAAAAGGCCGATGTCTGTACATTAAAGATAATAAAGAAAAATCAATATGGAGGTCTTTCTTAGAGCAACAGAAGCTATATCAACAACGTTTAGAATTTTTGACGTGTCGTGTCTGTCTGTCTGTATGTTTGTACGCACATCACGCGAAAACTAATGCAAGGGACTGAATGCAGTTGCTAGAGGTCTAACTGAAAACATAGAAAAAAATTAGAGAGTTGCCACCTGTTTGAAAATTGCAGTTTAAACAATTTGGAATTGATAAAGTAAATATTGCAATATGACTGTCAAAAAAGAGGTTTAAGAAGAAAATATTGGAAGGTTGCCACCTGTTTGAAAATTTTAATTTAATCTACTTGATAAGATAAATTAAAAAAGATTACTGTCGAAAAAAATTTGGAAGCGCATTGCCATCTACTTCAAAAATTTAATTCACTTAAATTGATAAGATAAGGTAAATATTTAATTAATACAACTTTGAAGAAAGAGCGCGATATGTAGACTCGTGTTATAAGATTATAAATTAAATTTCTAGGAGAAAGTCGATACTTTACCTACTTTATAAATTACTTCGAAAATATATTAACTAACATTCCCATTCTTTAAAAATAAGGTATGCTTCATGACTCGAAAATTTGTTTAAAAATCTCACTTCAAATATATTTTATTTTTTATGAATAAAGCCATAAGAGTTTTGGGAGGGAATAACAACACAAAAATACTTTAAAGTTGCAGTGAAGCTAGTATTTGTTAGTTATTGAAAAAAAAATATATAAAAAATCGATATATCAACCTTTGGTTTGGGAAAAAAATTTATATTTGCGATTTATAACATTTCATGGGATTTGAATAAAAGGCTGAAAATTTTTTTTATATTGCCAAAACACTTCAATAAGCCAAGCAATTTTCCCTTTTTATAAAGTTTATGGTTTTATTACATCAACCGTTATGATCATAAAATAATTAAAGTATTGTTTACAAATGTATATTTACATATTAGATAAAGAAAAGTAAAATAAAAGTACTAAAAATACATTTAACTCTAAATAAATATGTGCTGTCTTCTTGGCATAAATATGTATGTACATTCATACATAGGTACATATGTATGTACTTATGTATAAACAGTCTTTACCACAAAAGAAACACACAAAAGAAAATGTATCGCAAAAATGCTGGTGCAGCGAAAAGTTATCTATCAGAAAAGGGGCTGCAGTAAATGTAGGTGATTTGTTGAAACAGTTTAAAACAAATACACTTAGAATACTTTTCCGAAAATTTGGAATATCGGCCACATATTTATTTATTTGCATAATAAAATTAGCTTGGCATAAGATATTGAAAAGCATACATAGTCTCTTCTCTTGGAGTTTTTTTTTTTAATTTTTTAATCTGAAGTCTGTAGAAAATATGGCATTTTATCTAAGCGTAACAAAGAAGAAGGCACAACAAATTCTAACGCAAAATAAAATATATCGCCTTGCAGTTTACATAGTATTCCAATTAGACAACCATCTACTGGTTTACTTAAGGCTTTACTTAAATCTTTTTATTTCTCTTCTAATTTGCTCGCGATTTCTTTGTTCGCGCATTTTCAAAGTTCAACGTATTATAATTGCTTTGATTGCAATATCATAACTTTTTATACGCTTATTGTGTGCTTAAGGGAGTAACGTAGTCTTGATTCTGCTTGTACCTGAATCCTCTTGAGTACAAAGGTTTTACTCGAAAAGTGCAATTAAGCTCTACTCTGTCCTAACTAACGCAAATTTTAAATCGCAAATGAAGCCAAGTCCTCCGCCACCCGATCTCTCCAACGCTGAAAAGGACTTTCAGGGCTGACACGCTTGCATCCATTCGTATGATATGGCCGAGTCAGCAAAGCCTCTCATTCTGTGCCATATAAGAGAGCAGGCATTATGAGTCACTTTTTTATAGAGTGTGATTTTTGTTAGACGGCAGAGGACTTTACTTACCTCTCAAAAGTCCAAAATAACATTTCTTTGTAAAAGTAATTCTCGCTGGATTTGAGGTCTGGCATGTGTTATGATGTCGTTATAATCGGCTTGGTTGGTTGGTAGGTTTAAGTGGATTGTCACCCTAGTGAGAAGCAATTAGGAAGTTTGTCACAACTCGTGCAATCTCCAGTCATTTGGGTCGTCGCAACTGCGACAAAAAAGCGATTGAAGGGCTGGCTCATGCTTTTGGCATGTACCCCAATGGGCCAGCGCCCTGTGCATTCGTTCCTAAGAAAGATTTGGTTTTAAGTGGGTCGTAGGATACCGGTACTGCCGGGTAATGCTATGCAACTCTGCCTAGCCTTTCAGTGATTTTTATCTTAATCTCTCTTAGCGAGATGCCGAGAGTGTCCACCGCGTGAGACACATTCATTGCGGAGCCGTTCCTTGCTAGTTCGTCCGCTTCCTCGTTTACGCAAATGTCTATGTCCCGGGACCCATATTAGGGTAATTTTGTATTGATCAGAAATATCGGCCAGCTCTCTCCTACATTGATCCACTAGTTGAGATCTAACATACGTAGAAGAGAGTGCCTGAATGGCCGAGTAGATGTACACCTACGTTTACGCAGGTACGTTCTCTTTAATACCTTTAGTACCTTACTGCCTCCTTAATAGCGTATGTTTGGGCATGAAAAACGCTTATGAGGCATTCCAAGCTATTTCAATGAAAATTATGATTTTTTTTAGATTTTGATATAAACTGAGTATAATGTAGAAATACCTCTAAAATATGGCAAAACGCGAGGAATGTAAAAAATATAATAAAATTTGCAAAAGTTATACAACAACAAAAATATTAGCCATTGTTTATCACATCATAACTCGATAAATATTGGTTGTATAAAAAAAATCACTAGTACTTTTTTATTGACACAGAGTCAGAGATTTATAAAAGATTTTTAATTTCTTTTTAAGTCCACTTTTCTATAAGCTTATTAATAAACAATTTAGAAAGTTGCTAAAAAAAACGTGTTTTCAGGTTTTTAAAAATCTGCAAAAAATATATATGATAGAGTGAATATCAAAGATTTAACTCACAAAATGTTAAAGGGTGTCTCGATATAGGGCCTGAGATATTAATTGTTTAGTAAAGCAGTTACTGATAAAAAAAAATTAAAAAAAATTAAAAATTTAAATTCAAATTACATCAAAATACGTCAAGTGGGCCACCTAAAAACCTTTTCTTTCGGATAACCAAGTTAGGTTCGTACTTTGGTAGAGGTCCAGGTAATATTTGTTTCCCTATACTTTATTTTGCAATAATCCTCTTACTTTGCGAAAAATCGCGAATTTAAAATTAACATAATCATTTCTTTGATTGGCCATTTCTCCTGAACCGGCAGAGATAACTTAATCATTTTGGTTTAAATTATGCACAGATTAATAAATTTTTCACAACAATATGGGTATCAATCGAAATGGTTTTAAAAAGGCTTTATTTCATGATTCTATTCTGTTTGAAATATTTTTAACAGGGTTTCCACCTTTTTACAAACTTTAATTCAACGTGTAAAATAGGTATAAAATGCATTTGGCTATGAAAGAAACTTTATCTCTAA